AAAAAAAAAAAAGTTTAATGAAAAAAAAAAAAAAATCTAATTACAGCATAATGGATATAGAAGTGAGAAATGCTGAATATAAGTAATTTCAGCAATAATTTTCAGCAAGATCTTCATCTAAAACTTTTATTTTTATAACCTCCTAGGTTTTGCAAAAAAAAAAAAAATGTTTCAATGTTTCAATTTTGTGTCGCTGATGTAACGTATTTTTGCACTGTGAACACTTTTTTGACGCTCGGTCTCGAGGCACACCATGCAGAAGTACAACAAAGTTACAACAGCATCATTATATTTGTATTTATTTTCATTAGAACACAATTTTAGTAATTGTAGCAGTAGTTTTCGTACTTTTCAAAAAGATCATGACCTGTGAGACTCTTATAAATCATTCATCTCAAAGTTGTTTGTAAAAAAAATTAAAGAAGTTACTTGAACTAAAGCATCTATAATATTACAATATACTGGTAGTATAATAGTAATAATAATCATAATCGCAATGGTAGTTCTATATGCATTTGAACCTTTTTCAGCTCTAGAATAATAAACTTTTTTATCTTCACACACCCAGAGAACCGCAGTCGTTCACAAAAAGGCTGCGGTGCTGAGGGTGAAATCTGTTGGTCTAACTGTGCCACGCTGTCTTCAAACATCAGTGATTTAAGACGCTCAAATCAAATCAAAGAAACAGAAGAAGAAAAGTAACAAGGTAGTAACTTAAATAAGACAAGGAGAGACATACATTGTTCAGCATACTAAGGAACACCGTTACAACCCAAAAAAAAAAAAAAAAGGAAATGAGCTTCTGCATAGATCCACGGGAAAGAGAAAGGAACTGCTGTAAAGACAGAGAAAGTGAAACATTTGTGTTCGTTTGAATGGGTTCACTGGAGCTGAGGGCAACAGGCAATAATAGTTTAAATATGTAGGAACAAACCACAGAAATTTAGTTTATATGTGATGGAAGATGACAGAGCGTAGCCTACAGCTGCTACAGACCATTTCCATGGATGAAGACTGGATTTAAATGAGCTTACACTGTTTTCCTTAAGTGTAAAGCCATATAACTTTGACAGAATTAAACATACATTAAAAGTAAGAAGTATTTGTTGCATGCATGCCTCTATGACCAACAAAGAATGATTCAATTAACTTCATTTGAAGAACTCGTGCGTGTACAAGTGAAAATAGTTGATGTTTATGCATGAAAGGACTGGGCTAAAGGGGACAACCTATAGACGGCATTCACATCCATGCAACAACGATGAAGATGCGTAATACAAACATGCTTTCCATGTCTACTGTGATGCATCTCAAAGCATGCCTGTTAACATAACTGATAAAAGTGAACTCACTTGCAAGAATGGTGCCCTGTCTGATCACTTTCCTTCTCCCGCTTTCAGTATCTGTACCAGGCCAGGCAGATCCATGCTTTCGTGTTGTTTGCATTCATTTCTGAATCTAACATTCAAACGTAACCAAGACGGATCAAACCAGGCAGCTGTTTTCCAATGATTTTGAGTCCCATCGTATTTGTATGTTCGTGGTGGAGCTTTGTTTATTATTTATTTGTATATTCTTAGGTGTCGAGAGAGGTGCAGAGTCTGTTCCTTTGCTCCTGTCGAACATGGCATTTTGTGTGAGCAGTGATTGTCCAGCCATATAGTGTTTACGCAGTGCACAACACAGATGGGGCCCTTTCCTCATTGTCAGGAAATTATCAATGGAGGAGTTATTGTAGAAAAATTACCTTTCCCACTTTTATTTTATGTATAGATACAACATGTAGAAGTTTTATAAATAGTGTATATACAGTTCTGGAAACAAAAAATGCACTGAACCTCATTGAAAACCTGCTGGTTATTCCACCAAATAAAACTCTTCTTGAGTTGCAATATTGGGATTGTTATTTCTAAATGAATATGAACTTGTTTTCTTCGCATTAATTGAGGTCAGAAAGCACTGCATGTTTTTTTTTTTTATTATTATTTTGACCATTTCTCATTTTCTGCAAAATACTACACTTTTGCTTGAAATTTCAAAGACATGTTGTCAGTAGTTCATATAATAAAAGAGCAATGGTCATTTTACTCAAACATACAGCTATAAAAAAGTAAAATCAGAGAAATTGATCATTTTAAGTGGTCTCATTTTTTTTTTCCAGAGCTGCACACACAACTTTTTGTGTTTCTGCTGCCGTGTCAAAATGACAGTCTGTGAGGAAAGTCATATTGTCCGTATCAAAAACCGCCAATTCTCGCAAGTCACTTAAATTGGATCTCCTGCTGGTACTTTTAATGTTGGCAACATAAAGTTTGTGTGATGCATCGTATGCATTGCTAACTGAGTGATTCTACAAACAAAAGTGAGAATCTTTTCTTCCGATTTGAAGATAAGGATGTGAATTTGCAGCATGTTACTCAAAACAGGGTTAATCTTGGCATATTCCTTTTACCCAGGCCTCCGATCTTACTTACTGAATTTTGTAAGATTTTTAAATTTTTTTTTTTTTTTAGACTGGTGAGAGCAAAGAAAAAAAGGGAAATCTGAGTATGACAATACCGTCAAAAGTGACGTTTGAAATGAATATTTTATACGAGTGCAGGGCTGCAGTGAAAAACCTAATAGTATTGTAGATTCCTGCAGTCTGAAAACAGCTTTTTATTTAATAGTATCCATCTAGCAACCCCAATGTGAAGATTTTTGCAATTAGCTCAGAGCAAAAGAATAACTAACAAACCTAAACTGAAAAAATATATAAATAAAAATCTATACAGAGGTACAGACATAGCAGCAGCAGCACCCTTCTACCCACAAGTTAAGGGGTAAAAAAAAAATAAAAAATTCTCCCAGAGCTTAACCATCTTTGTTTCCTGTACATCTAACAGTTCTCGTACTGTAGGCCTCCAGCAGCAGCGATAATATAAAAGAATAAATATATCTCTCATCTAGTTGTGGCCCCTGGCATAGCAGCATTTTTGTCACTGAATGTAGACAACTTAAACCAGGATGGGTGGATGGGGAGCTTTTCATGCAAACAGGAATAGTGAAGAGTGCTATGGTGCAAGGTCTGAGCAGCAAATGTAAAGATAAGCCTGTATATAAATATATATTGATGGAATAAAGATGGAAGTAAATTCACCATGTAATGTTGTAACCTGATGGCATCAGATTCTGGGATAATAAAACACGCTGAAATGTGAAAATAAATGTATCCAGCAACATCTCCTCGCTTTTAGCAGATACCTGATCTTCCAGCCACGTTAATCAAAAGAGACACAAAATAGAAACAGAACTAAGGAAAGAGGTCAGCCCTTGAGGTCACACCATTTCTTTCTAAGCTCACACATCCCAGGCTTAATAAATAAGTAAACTGAACTGACTTTGAGCGATCATTAACAGTGACATGCTCCTTTCTCTGCGTTTGTTTCTGCTCCTGATTTCCAATTGCAGTAAAAAAAAAGGCCTTTTGCACTGAAGTTGAATAAGTTTCCATGAAAATAAGAATGAGGCATCGTCGTCCTCTCTGTCGGCAAGCAAACAGTAAAACAAGTGACTTTTTAAATGTGTCTGACTGTATGAATGACAATGTTTGTTCTGTATTTCATAATAAGCCCTTTACATAATGGAATCTGTGATGCCTAAAGTAAAGAAATACAAACAGTGGGCATGCTACCGGATGTGATTTGGGATTAAATGTGGTTCTGACAATACAAGTGGCCTCTTCTTGCAGAGCCTCCATGCTCCCGCTTAGCTGAGGTAAACTGATTGAAACTGCATTTGTGTTTAGAGATGAGCAAAGGCTATACGTAATGGCCGATAGCCAAATTATAATTTAAAAAACCTGAAAGAGAGTTGTGATTTGCTAGTTCTGCAAAGTGATTAATATAACATCCAGTCATCATGTTGTCCTTAAATGAAATAGGGCTTGGGGTTAAAATCTCTAAGAAGTTCAGGTCTAATACTTTGTGTGTTTGGCAGAGACGGATCAAGCACAAATAATTTTATTATATGGATGTGCCCCTTCATAATGCCACCCTGGGCAACTGCCAATACCAAAAATCGTCAACAGTGCTAAGTTTTAGGGTTGATTAAATGGGGTAACCAAGCCTGACATGAATAAATTTTTATTTATTTTTTTTTGTTTCTGAACATCCACTGTTTAAATTCAGAGCAAGTATTTCTTATTTATTTTAATTTGGGGTTTGGGGCAGGGCTCACTGTGTGCATTTATAATTAAACCCTATCATAGTCTTAGGTGTTAGTGCGATGCTCAGGAGGAGCACTGCAAATGTAATGTTCAGACAACAAGGGGTCAAGGGTTGTCCTGTAAGACAGTTAACTCTTAAAACCACATGAAAAAAAAAAAAAAAATGAAAAAACTTGCAAAAGCTCATGTGCAGTCAGTCTGTGCAGTCAGTGTGACCCCGCCTAACCACGCACAGAGTAAAACTCGTAAAAAAACTTGTGGGGTCTGAAGTCCCTCATCTCTTAAGATAGTGCAAGGGTTAAATAAAGTGTACCAAACTGAAACTATTTTGTTCACCACCTCACATTTGAAAAATAAAATAGATAATAGATACAGAAAAACAAAGGTGTCTGAATTTTAAATAATAATAATAATAATAATAATAATAATAATAATAATAATAATAATAATAATAATAATAATAAAACTTAACTGATTGTAATTGCAAAGTAACATTTGAGATTTCACCATAAGGAAATGTCAAATTTCACTTCTCTCATTTAGGTTTAGAGAAAATTAAGTGTCTTTAAAGTCATCATAAGAAAATCAATGGTTGGTTAAGGACACATTTTAAATAGTATTAGAAAACTTTCCTGAGCCCAGTGTTTGCTTTTAAAGGAAAACAAAAAAAGTATTTTGAGACTAAATTGTGTTATCTGGTGAATATTGTCTCACAAAACTAAGTTAGAAGAAGGCCTGTAAGCCTCAGTTAAACAAATACATTTTAATGGAAGCCAGAACCACATTAAAACCCAAGGAAATCCTAACAGGAATATGACCAAACCCCCATGGAGGAGCAGAGAAAATCTGAGGGGCTCTCCATTAGCCTTTTAAGTAGACTTTTTGGCATAGCAACATGCGCTCATTCTCTCTCTTTCGCTCTCTTCCTCTCTCTCTCTCTCACACACACACACTTGCTGCTAACTTTTTTTTTTTTTTTTTTTCACATTTTCTGTCTTACTCAGAGGAATCATTTTGTTCCTGAATCTGGGTACCACGAAAGAGACGAATAATGAACATTAGAGAAATAATATGATTATGTTATTCCATAGTCAGCCAGTGCAACAGAAACCAATAATTGGAACACAGTGTAAAAAAGCGTAGAGAAACTCAGCCACGAGGAAGCTGACCTTCCCTCTCAACAAAGGTTGTGGCATTGTCCCTTTTTTTTCTACCAAAGGGACAGCTTGAGTCCCTTAGTTTGTGGGAGATTGTTTCTTTAGTCACTTCTATGTTTTGATTGATTTAAGAGTCTCTCATCTCAAAGTATCCCGTGTGTTTTTGTTTCTCATAAAGTGTTGCAGTATGTCTACAGGCACACAGCTCCAGCCGTTCGCATCAACCGTTGTCGTATTTTTCCAAGCTGGTTGCCATGGCGAGGGAATCCCCCCAGCCTCCCCACCCCTCCACCTTCTGCGCTGCGACCTCATATCCGCTCAGCTGCTCCATCACTCCTCGTTGGCGGGGCTCTCCTCCAGAGGCGTGAAGGTGGGGAGGCCCAGTCCTGTTGCATTGTGGGATGCAGTGAGGCTGGCAACAGTGTGTAGGAGGACCAGGACCAGCAGGCAGAGTTTGAGCCGGCTGTTACACAGTCTGCAGGCTGCCGAGGAGCTGAGGGAGGTACGATGCTGGCATGGCGGGTGAGTTCTTTTTAGGGTCGCTCTGGAACGGTTGTCCACTTTTGAATCCCACCGCACATCGCAGCACTCTGCATTTGGGTCAACACCTGATGGGTATTCTTCCAGCAACCCTGGATGTTTTAGGGAAGATAAGGGAGAAAATGACTTAATTGTTTTATTTTCATCCTGGCGTACTGCTTGTCAAAACCTTTGCAAAATAACAGTCTGATATTGACTAGATTTTTTTATGGTTGTTTTTTTGGCCAATGAAAAACTTGGAAAATCCTCTCAAAATCCAGGGTGATAGAGAGGGGAAGCATTTTTCTCCATGGGAAAAAAAAAAAAAAAAAAAAAAAATGCTTGTGATCATTGGAAGGTGGCAGCTAAAAAAGATTTAAAACACTTACTTTGTTCATTTTAATAAAACATGATAAAGCAAAACACTGATGTTCAAACCACCAAATGCAGCCAAATATGCTTATTTTCATAGATCGGATCTGAAAACAGCCACAAATGTGTTGCTCCACATGACCACCAGGAGGCAGCATAAGCTATGAAATAGAACCCCACAATGTCGCTGAGCAGAGTTTTACAGTAACATGGCTTTGCATGGTGGGTGAAAGCTGGCTTTGTGTGTGTGCGTGTGTGTGTGTGTGTGTGTGTGGGGGGGGGGGGGGCGATAAAAAAAAGGTTTTATCACCTGATAAACCGCAATATTTTTTTACTGGT